CCATTTCTGAAAATTACAGCATAAGCAAAATAATAATGTATATTCCCTTTAAGAAAAGCCGGAGGACTCGCACTGCGAATAATTTCAACCCAACTTTTTGACCAGGATTTGCTTGGGTGGTCCTCTTCATTTTGCGACAAATAACCCTGACCCAAAAAGGCACAAAACTTGAGGGGAAACCCCTCGTGTGGACGTGTGCAAGTGCACAAAGCGTTCACACTTCCTGCACCTCTTTTGTTTGAAGGTCCACAAAGAGTAGGCCTATAGGCCTATGCAATGTTAGAGCGCAACGACCAAGACTATTCAGTGTTTTCGTCGAGCGCCCTCAATTTGATTGCTTCAAAATCTACCATAGCGAAAGAAAGCAAATTGCTGAATAATTTTCACGGATAATATTCTGCCGGTTAAATCGCAGTATAAAATGAGCCGCAATTTTTCTTAATCCAGAACTTCTCCACTTTTTCAAACAGCGCTTCACTTTCAGATAAATGTTAATTCATAGAGAACGCTGGTGCACATAAACAACCTTGATTTACCGAATAAATGATTTTGGCAAGCCCACGGAATCCTCTTCTATTACCGTCTATCGGAGAAAAATGAAGCATAAATCAAACCAGTCAAGCGTGGCTTGATAGTTGTTATCGATCGCAGTTCCCGAATACGAAGAAAGAGACGACGTCATTATTTTTTCTCGCCAAATTGTTAATTGTTTGTTTACCTGACGCAAGAGAAGCAGTTCAGTCGCACGGTGATGAGTGGGCAACAAGCAAGGCGGGGTCCAGATGGAGAACTGCCAGAATATAAAGGTGGCTTCAGAGATTCATACGAATCCGGGGACAAGGGCCATGCCCACTATGATTTATTTATTATCGGAGGAGTGAAGACACCTTTCAAGCACAGAGCAAGGAATGTTTCAAGTTTTTCATAAGATGAATTTGCGTCGGAGTGATGTAAATCAATATAAGTGCACTGATACAGTGTTTATACGTCGGTGAAGGGCTAAACCTAATATTCACTTTTCAAGTGGTTTTCAATTTTCAGGAAATAATGAAAACGTTGAGTATCTCCCTCGCAAGCCATCACTGGGGTCCAATGTAGTTACGCCACTTTCCTGTATAGGCATCCGATCCGAATGACAAATCGTGAATAAAAATTGTGCCCATTTTTATTTTTAAAAAGTAAAAAAAAAATATATAACTGGTTAAGTTCATCCTTATCTTGGTAAAAAAAGATGTTAACATCACGTGAGAATATAATGCCCCCACTCAGTGCAATGCATTATAAAGCGAACATGAGGAATATAATCCGGTATCGTCATATAGGCCTATATATATTTTTTTTTTTATCTTATAGGCTATAGAGAGATTATGTGAAAGAAATTAATGAGTTCCCGTTCAAAACTGATGTTCGTATATAGAGCGACACCGCACACTAGATCATTATTAGTTTCTTATAACTCCTATCAAGTTACATAATTGATATTACCCTTTTTCCAATTCAAGGCATAGGCCTACAGGATCATTCGCTTTCCATGCATTCTGCCCGTTTCCAATCATAACAACACTAAAAATCCATTGTTCGAAAACTAACCTTTAAAAGTTATGCACACCATTTGCACAACCTTTGGTGACACCCATTCACAATATTCAACCTTTTGTGACGAAACACCATGTCTTCAATAGCACTCTCTATTTCCCGAAATCAGCCTATTGACTGATTGTTGGAACTCACATTTCCTGATTTCTCTCTAAATGTCAGCAAGCCAGACGGAATAATTTCACGGATTCTTTAGTACAGTCTTTAATGTAATCCACGTAACCTTTTTGATAATACTAGAGAGTTCCGGCATTTGGGAAAAGTTCACGTATAGGCTATCTGTATATGACGTCACAAGTATAACATAATGCATAGGCCTACTATGACGAGCATGCCGAAATTCAGGCCCGTGCTCCCTATACATTTGGAGTCCACATTTTTCTCCCCCACTTTTCACCCATTTTTGTTCATGTCTGTTGCCTCTGACAGCTGATTTTGTACGTGAATCTATAGATGTACTCATTAATGTCTTAAGTAAGATTTGAGGCTTTGCATGGTGGAGATACTAAATAATGAAAGGTTTGCAGAAACACCATGCGCGAATAATTTCTCAACTATAAGAGAATGGTTCTGAAAAGAACCAGAGGTATAAACTCCTTTATACCTCTGGTTCTTTTCAGAACCATTCTCTTAGTTGAGAAATTATTCGCACATGGTGTTTCTGCAAACCTTTCATTATTCATTAATGTCTTCTTTCTCAATAGAAAGTAAACAACAGGCCTACTTCTAACTCAGAATAGCAACTTTGTATTGTAACAAAGCTAAAAAAAAACAACGTTTTCTTCTTCATACCTATTACCCATTATGCAAAATGTATTTCTCTAGTTGGCATATTATTTTGTTTTATTCATTTCACGCATAAACCGTCTCCCAAACGTAGAAAAGAAACCTTGTAAGAGTTTACCTCATTGGATTATACGCATGCTAGTTTTAACCTCTAATTTATGGGCTTATTAAACTTTGTTACTGAAACAATGACGTACTTTTTAAAGAGGATCGAACTTCTGAGAGCCAGAAAGCCTGCCTGTACAAAATAAATCAAGCTGTCAGGATTTCCATTATAACTTCACACCTCGCTAACCAAGTGCTTCTCGTAAGACACTTTAATATGCAACTATACTATAACGAAATACTTCGAAAATCACTATAGCCTATACGTCCCGCAAAAATTCGCCATTAAAATCACCTTGAACATCCCATATATCATGCGACATGCAATTAAGAATGAGAAGTTTATTAGAAATATATTTTGAGCATAAATTTGGTGTAAACTGGCGACAATATATACGTATACGCTCCCGCATATAAGGCGGCTACAACATGTATTTTCCGTTATCATTTTCTCATTCTCATATCACGCATGAGAAGCCTGAGAAGAACGCATAAAGTAAATGAAACAAATCTTGGCAATACAAAAAAATGCACATGATGATTGACAGTTCGTTATGTTTAGCAGGCATCAGAAATCGGAAATTAATTTTACTGCACTGTAGAATAATAATGTATTAACAAATTAGGTATACTTTAACAGAATTTGTCCCGAATGACAACAAACGAAGGTAAGGCCAAAAAACATAATAAGTCGGTCTCTGGTCAGCGCGCGCGTCGATTTTAATCATGCGCGTCGATCTTTTTTCCCCCAAAATGTTCCGCGGTAGCTCCAACAGCGCCCTCTATTTCCGCACCTCCTCATTTTTTTTTTACCAAAGAGCACCAAGGAATGGGAAATTGCACCAAGGCAAATGATCGAAAGCACCAAGGCAAATTATGGAGGACACCAATGTAAATGAGGACACCAAAAAAGCAAAATAGTACCCACCTTGTCTGTACAATCCAAGCTTGAAGAAAAAAAAAAAAAGCCAAAAAAAAAAAAAAAAGCCGCGTGGCCGCGTCAATTCCGGAACTTTGGTCTGACCAGAGACCGAATATTTTTTTGTGGCCTAATGAAGATAAGTTTTTGTTGGTTTTCACTTATTTTATTCATGAGTGGACTTTCTATAATGAAAACTTTTTGCCGTTATTACAACAATGCCAATTACTTTGATCCAATCCAAACATCGGTACTCAACCCCCATGGCGCGCATAAGTGACATTTATCCCCCCCCCCGGCCCTCTGGATACGGCACTGTTTATTCGTGATATAACATCCATAGTTTTGGGAGTCAACATTAGTGGTTTCTGTTACTAGGTGGCCTTGTTTTCATTAAAAAATAAAACTGCACCCAAACTTCTCACTAGTATTTACTAGGAATCGAGACCAACCACACCCAAAACAACAACTTCGAAAACAGCAAGTATAAAGGGACCGACTTGTAGATCGATAAAGGGATGTCGCAGCAAATTGGTTATTGATTGACAGCTTAGAATCGCAAGACGTCATTTACTTACTCAATGGTCGACAAGTACTCGTGATAATCTTAATTGAGGCAACCTAACGGCCCCCATCGTTGCGGTAATCCGCTAATACCGCTTTCGCTGCATGCGTGCGGTCGGTACGGGCACGTCGCGCACGCGAACAGAAAACCTCCAAATTTAGTCTGGCTAGTGAGCGGTGTAAAAAAAATGACAACTTTGTGTCGGCAATTATTGAAGTGGTTTTTATTCTAAAAGACTATTAAGTCGTCTCCTATTATACACACGTTCCTAATTTACTTGTTTCCTTTAATTTTCTTTCGGTTCAACGAATTGTATGCTAGTATGAGAAGCACCTCCCAACTCGCGCATTTTTATCAAAATGGAATGATAAAATGTTAATAACACCTACCTCTTCATTCGAATGAAACGAATGTCAATTTAAGAACAACTTCCCGATAGCAAACAATAACTTCTATCCTTTTACATGGGGGGGGGGGGGGTAGTGTTACTTAAATTTGTATTAGAAAATGCGAAGAATGCATTGCATTTGCAAGATAGAGCAAAATCAATATTTCGTGAAACACACAAACAGTGTTCAAATACGGGGCAAATGCCAGTGGTGTCGCGTTGACATTTATCCATCGAGTACAATTAATTATTGCCAGAACCGGACCCAAAAATCCCCACGTTTTTGTTGGACAGTTTCAATATTTTGGATACAAAGTTTGCTTCAGTTTCTTTAAATTTATAAATTGTTTTGTACAGTATCTAGTTCAGTCGGTCATTGGCAGCGGCTGTCACTTTGTGGTTTCGGACCGGTCCATTTACAATAGGGGTGTCAATTATAAATACCACGCTATGCCCTGTTATAAAATTCTCCCAATTAGTCCTCCGTTATTCTACACTGTAAAATCATGATATTAGTATGAAAATTGTAGTTCATAAATGTTGCGTTATGGTTTATATTTATATATGAAGATGTAAGAATTTCGACGTTCCATTATTTGCTACCTATATTTTGACCCGATGACATCATCCCGCGCGCTGCATGTGTTTTCTATAGACGTCTTTTCTGGGAAACTCGCGTAAATTTGAGAACAATATCTTCACCTGCGCTGCATGCTGTATGCCTGCATTGGACACGTCTTGTGCAAAATTATGTCACTAGATACAACTGGAGAATTTTGAGCAAATCTGAAGGAAAACCGAGCAATTTTCTGGGTGTAAAAGTGTCGCCCACCTACTTCCCCGGGGCTCCGTGTGTGGACAGATACAGATACGTGACCGTGATACTGCGCAGTTGCTTGCCGTTGAAATTGCAGACTTGACGGCAGAGATATGGACTCGTGTGTGGCCCCTTGTAGTTGTACGTGGGAACTCGATGAGTGGCCAGCTAACTGAAGCTGAAGACTTTTCATTACCCTTCGAGTCTTTGGATCAGCACGTCTCATCGAAGGAAGTTGTACGCGACTGGGACAAGTGATATCCACAACAAAAAAGGTTTGTAATTGTATTGGTCTAAAATTGTGGTGTGTGCGTACGTGGTTGGGGGGGGGGGGGGGGGATATGGGGACTGCGTTATGTTTTTAACCAACTGAGTGGGAAAGGCACATGATAGTACAGTGTGCTGGTATGGTGTGCATATAATTTGGGGAATGGAATGTAGTCGCAATACCAATCTGATGGCTCTGCACAAAGTCTGTAATTTTTTTCACAGAATTGGAACCATATCTTATCGCCTATATAAAATAATTTATTTCATTTTCAAACGGTACAATTTTCAGTCTCAATTTTATTGTCATTTGGATTTTTGACAACAGGATCGATAGTTCGTTCTTTTCTTTTGTTTCTTCTGTAAAAGTGCCTTTTTATAATAAAACGGCATTGTTGCGAGTGAGTGGACATTGTTTAATTCCAAGCAATACACATATTTATATTCGTACAAGAATTAAATATTGAATTTTAAATTGGGTTTCTTGTCTTAACTTGTTTAATTTTGTGATCTATCTATGACATATCAATGAGGGTTTTTCTCTGAATAGATGTTGGTGAACATTCCTTGGATTACTGGGGGTATATTCAGCTTGGAATACCCAGCTTCAGCAGGCTCATGTCGTAGTTTCTTGTCTTGTCTTTAAAAAAAAAAGCAGGATGCGGGCATATTTTTTTGGTAATTTACACGCATTCTGCTGGTAATTTACACGCAAGAATCGTACGCCCGCGTTAATAAGCCTTTGAAATGTTCGATTATCAGGAATGACCCGTAACCCATATCATTATGCACATAGTATGAACAGTTGACATACCGAACTGGCTGATAGGCCGCTGACGCCAGTGACGCGCGGGGTTGCATAAAATTTACACACGGATATCAGACATTTGTAGTGTGGTTTGCACATGTGAACGTCGGATCCTCAGTCAAGACTACTGGTACCCTGATGCAGGCTTACTGTAAAATTTCCATGTCAGTTAAGCCAAGGGCAAAACCAAATATTTCAAATGTCAGAGTTAGTTATAAATTTCACCCCAAGTTAATAGCTGATGGAATGGCGTAAAAGAATTATACCAGCTTATAATGTAAATCCTAGCTCGGAGCCACTGGTATGTTGGACCGTAAAGGCCAAAAAAAAAAAAATAGTTCGGCTTCCGATTACATGACATTTGAAAATAGGGTAGGTACATAGGGAATTTTTTGTTTCCCAATTTTTTTTGTGTACGATCATATGGAGGTGTCTGCGTAAAGGGTAAAAGGTGGTAACTGATGATTTTCAAATTTTTTCCCCTCATTTCCCCCCCCCCTTCCAAATTAAAAATTAGGGCAGGGGGTGTCAAAATAGGGTAGGTAGGGTAACCAGAAGCAGATTTTTTTTTTGGCCTATCCCCTTCCACCTTACTGGCTTTATATCTTGGTCATATTTTTACCGGCACGCATTCGTATCAGCAGCTGCGTCGACTGATAAATCGTGGTCGAGATATTAAACCCCTTGGAAGATACTGCGTAGTATGCTTTATCGTATTGCTCTGACGTCAGTTCAACTCAGTCCAGGTAGCATAGATGTCAAGAAATCGAGAAAAAAAATAAAAAAAATCAGCAGACGCATCTCAAATGTGTAGAAATCAATATCGGGCATCCTCTAGTTTCCTTTTCTTGGGAATACCTGTACGTCTGCTGCAAAAGAAGATTTTGTTTCCTTGACTTTCTGTATTGATTACTGCACAATTCTCACAGGGGAAAAAAACCCCCCAAACTTGCGTCAGAAATATTTTATATTTCGATTCCCATTTTTAATCCTGACTCACTCAACATTTTATGAACTTAGTTTAAATATAAACTACTAAAAGAAAGATAAATGAAGTTGAGTAAAAATGAATAAATATAAAAGTAAACACATGTTTAATTTTAATTTTGTTTAATTTTAATTTTTTTGGGTTTTTTTGAGGATGAATTGGACCCCTCTTTTCAAACTTAAAGGGACATTACGTCCTGGAACGAGCCCAATTGGGAAAAATGCGTTCTAAACGAAATTGATTGGAAAGAGCATTTAAAAGTCAGATATGAACATCCACACAACCATCCTTAGGCCAAAAAAAAAAGTCTCCGGTTTCTGGTATGCGCGCGCGTCGCCGTAGACATGCGCGTCGGCAAAATGAAAAAGTTTTTTTTTCAATAAAAGATGATGTCTCAAAACCGCCAAACTCACTGGTTTGACTGGAATCCTGCTGCTGCACAGTTTTAACGTGTTTTTAGATGGCGTTATGATCGAGAATAAGCTTTATGTGGCCTCTCTGGACTCCCATATATTTGCACTAAGTTTAGTCGGGCACCATTTGCAGTCATCAGCCGACATTTGAAGCAAAAAAAAAAAAAACAGGTAAAAAAAAAAAAAAGCCGGGTCGCCGCACCACTTTTGGGGCAAGCTCCATACCAGAAACCGGAGACTTCTTTTTTGGCCTTAAAACTGACCGTTTTTGTGTTATTCTAGCAAGAACCATGCCAGAACAAATTTCAGGGGGTCACAATGTTGTCCCAGAAAAATCGGGCTGTTGAGTGCTAGTTGTGAATCCAGCTGCAGGGTACTACGCAGACGTTTGAATACAATTTTGTGTTTTGGTACGGGTGCTGTGTGTGAATATGCAGTAGTTCAGCATATGTAAGTGGGCACAGCACTCACAAGTCATAGTATTTTCTAGTATTTGGCACCTGCATAAGTTTTGTAGTGTACTGTAGTCTGTGGTAGCTCTATGGTGGTACTTTACCACAAATGAACTCTTTGGGGGTTAGGGTTAAGTAAACAATCCAAAACATAAAATTTTGGGGGATTTCAGGCCGTAGGCCCTAATGCTGAACTTTAAATCATGATCGTTTAATTTTATAGATCAGAATTCCCATATTTCCTCACATCAGTGAATGATACACTAACACTGCTGTACTTTACAGCTTAATGAAGATATCAAAACCTCAAGGAAATTGGCCGATTCAACGAATCTGTTTGGGTTGTAAAATTTCCAAATAGACAGGAAAACATTTTTCTGGTTTTTCCAATAATTTTTTGGGCAGGGCAACTTCCCAGGTCAGTCTCATTAAACCAACAGATGAAACCAAACCCTGGATTATGTGGCAGTTAGGCTGGCCCATGCCAACATATCGCAGGGACACTGCAAACAATGCAGTGTTGACTGTTTGGTCAGTCACAGACAGAAATTCAAATCACTTCCCCTCAAATACATGTAACTGTACACTGCACAGTCTATATGGATAAAAAAAAAAACGAAACCGAGATTTTATTGCTAATTGGAACAGAAGTAGGGCGTATCTGAATCAAAGGGAGATATCTATCCTCTGTTAGGGTTGAATCTCCTCTTTAAAATGACACCCTGATCATGTCCTTACATTCATGGTTGACTGAGCAGTGACCAATTTTATGAAAGGGTCTATTTAGAGGCTTGCGCCACCTTTCATGGTGAAATCTCTTTTTTCCCCAACCTGCCTTGATTAGCAACCATAGCCTTTCACTCTGTGACAAATGACTTCACAAAACCACAATTGAAAAGTGGCGCAATTCTCTAAATAGACCTTTTCATAAAATTGGTCACTGCTCAGTCAACCTTGCCTGTAATGACACGACCAGGGTGTCATTTTAAAGAGGACATTCAACCCTAACAGAAGATATCTCTTTTTGATTACATGTGTCCTACCAATGAGCAAGCAATAATATCTTGGTTTTTTTTATCCACCCTGTATAGTCACCATCAGTCAGATCATATTTTCTGGGGTGCATACCAATGTTCCCCAATACCTATTTTCCCCAATACCTATGTTCCCCAACCCTAGCCCTCACCCTAACCCTAAGGATTTTGGGGAACATACATGTAGGTATTGGGCAACATTGGGTAACCGTAGCCCCCTATTTTCTGTAGGCGTTATGCACAGTCAGTATCAATTATGTGGACTAGGAGCCAGTCTGCACGCAAAGCAGATCTGTTGGTGCCCAAAAACAAAACCTTTTTTTAAAGAGGGTTGCAATTACAATGTACTGTACAGTACCCGGTACCTGTATGTGATTTTTTTTCCCATTAACCCTAACTCCCCAGCCTAATTTACTAGGAACCATACCCATTCAGGCAAATTCCAACACCCACATGGGAAATTGTACACACACACTGTTGGACTTAGTTTCTGGAGGTATGCCAACCCCAGTGTAAAAGACCATCTGTTTAGGGGTACAGTACCTATCCCAACAGATTTAAACACTAACCTACTGTTGGAGTTTGATTGGTTATGGGCTGTTAGGGTTAATAAATTTTCACTTTGTATGTTTTTTTTTTCCAAGTAGAAAAACCCTTGTCTTTTAGGTCGTCTAAACATTGTAAACTTTTTAAAAGAGGGTTGCACTAATATGTACCGATGACCTAAAAAATATATTTTTTTTAGTTGGAAACAAAATGAACATACAAAGTGAAAATGTAGGCCTATTAATGGGAATTTCAAAAAAAAATCACATTTATTGGAGAGCACTGCGAATGCAACTTTAAAATTGGATTACATGTTATTTGACATCTTTTTTTACAGGGGAATTTTGATGATGGGGAATTTTGATGATCGGTTTCCAACCTTGTGATATACTCCAGTTTGACACAATAATGATTTGGTTGCCTTGAGTTGATATTAGACATAATTGACCAATCCTGTTTATGGCCTTGGATACATCACCACACCTGTTCCATCATTCACACTGTCTTGAAGGCTAGACATGTATGCACATATGTACATGTACATCCATCATACATAGGATGTACATTATTATAACCATGGAGCTACAATGTATGTGTTTTATAGCTCCATGTTATAACCTTGCTTCAAAATATTGGGATAACACTCAAACTCTCCAAAGTGTACAAAACACACATTGAATTACATGTATTACCCTTTTTTTGTTTTTACCCTTTTCACTTTCTGTTCCGAAATTTTGAGGATCTACATGTATTAAAGTTTACACACA